TTTCAGCTTCAGCTTAAACTTTGGATGATTATTTAAGGTTAGTGACTCTCAACAGCTCGCTCAAAAGCACACAAATGCTGAAACAAAAACAGGATTTTTTTTTCTTCTCTCCTGAATGAAAACAGATTTTATGGTAACATTACAAATCACCAGCTACAACTGATTCCAGGCCTCCGGAACAACTTGTCCACCCAAATAATATCAGAAAAATCAACACAGAAGACCTGGAGTCAGAACCTTGGCAATGTACAAGTTTTCAACCCCTATTCTGTTTCTACCATGCATGCATTTGTAGTAACTGATACTGGGTTTAAAATCCACTGTGCTGTTGGATCTGCTATCCTGCAGCCCACATTCAGACAGATGAGCTTGATACGACACTGTGGCCAGGAGCCTGTTCACACCTGAATCCCTGCTGTACTCTGGTGCACTGGGATTGCAGAAAAAGTGCACAGTGGCAAATTAAGGAAGACAGGCAGTACAGAAGCAAATTAGAATTGCATTAGAAATGTGTCAATTCTATGTCAAGTCTATAGCAGTTTGTTTGCAAATTCAGGAATTGCTGAGAATTGCTCCACCTATCTCTGTTCACACACACTATGTTGTTGAACCTCCCCCTCTTCTACACAAAAAATTTAACGGGTGTTAGTGGTTGTCAAAGGAACAGTGTTTTACACTTGGACAGAGCAAAGCTTTCATTAATTGGATTTACAGTAAAACTTCAATTAAAAGCCTAGTCCCAATTAGACCGCACACAAATATAAATGTTTAAACTTTTGTCAACATGGACATGCTATACATTGTTAGATCAGTTAGATTCTCCACAATTCAATTGTTCAGTTCATTTTACAGAAACAATTGATGAATTTATACATTCATATTAATACTGGTTAAAATAAACTATTAAAGGGACTATATGTAAGTTTTTCAATGAAATTAATGAAATTTCCATAGCCTTATTGTCAATGGGCTCAAAACTCACTTAGAAATGAGGCACACGCCTGTTTTCTCCGTTGCTTGCATCAGCCACTATTGTGCTTTTAATGTGGGGACTCCGGGTCGGATTCAGCCCTGTGCGCGCTCCCGAGCCTCTCTCGTCAATCACGATTTCAGTTAAATGCTAAAGTTGCTGTTACTGTTACCTTGTCTGTGGTCCGCTGGCAGAACACCGGCTGCTTTCTGATCAGCTGCCGTCGTGCTGTTGCCGAGGCAACATAAGTTTCGTTTTACAGTGGATGGACAGTAACATTGCAGAGTTGTTGTTGTTGTTTTCTTTAGCTTGAAATAATCCCAGACTTTGGACACTTTATTCTTTGTCCCTCGCAATTTTCTCTCTCTTCCTCCACTTTGCAAACAGCTCCATCACAACACGTCGTGTTCACAGCATAGCGCGATGTGCGACAGTAATGAATGTCCCTGCAAAACACTGTGCTGTATAGATATATGGATTAAACTAAGCATCGATGCATTTTATTAGTCGATTTAATCAATTTAATCGATGAATCAGTTCAGCCCTAGAGTCCACCAACACCATAAAACAACCGGCTCACAGCAAAACACAGGCTCCACGTAAGGATACAAAACAACAACAAAGGTTTATGTGCTGAAGCCCATCAGACCAAACAGGTTCAGATGATGTCGAGTAAGAACAAAGTGAGCATTAGTAAAGCTGGAGAAACGCAGAGAAAGTCACATTAGCTTGCCGGCTAACACCGAGCAGTTGCTAATGTTATCCGGAGCAAAGTTGTATCGCTTTCCATATTACTTCACCAACTAACGCAGCCCGTGTTACTATCCTGTTGCTTTAGCCTGCAAGAAAGGATGTAACGGTAAAAAGCAAATGTGGAGCAAATTGTTTACTAACATTAGCCTATAGTGATGCAGCCAGGAGCAGCCAGCTAACGCTACAGTATGTTTATTGTGGTTTTACCAATACTCAGGTACACAGCTTCTCCACCTCTCAGTCACTGTAACTAACATGACCCACATAATATACAACCCAGAGGAAGAGCCATCCACTGACACTAGTTACAGTAAAGTTTCTTACTGCGGTCTAACTGTTATAAAGTGTGACACAATCTCGTTAATATTCAGTCCAGCTCACTACCCGTTTCGTTATCATCCAATACATGTAGCTGTGCTGACATTGCTGAGCCTCCGGTGAAAAATACACAGATAATAAAGTTAGTTACTGAAAGCAGCAGAAGAGCTAACGATGTAGCACGTATGTTCATCCTACAGTTTAAAAAACGTTGCAGTGGGAGTTTATCTGAGTTTCCAGCTCTGTCTGTTCTCCCTGCCTGTCTATAGCCGCTGTCACTCTGCCTTTTTTCCGGGAGGATTGTGCTGATACGCGTCTCACTGCGCTGAATGAAAGGTACGGCACCGGTGTTGATCTGCCTCTGAGACGGGAACGTTGAAGTAACAGAGCCTGAACATGTCTGGAGAAAAGCCACAACCTGCATGCTGGTGTTCCTGCGTTTATTGCAGGATTTCTGTATGAAAGCGGTTGTGTTTCGGATTATTCAAGCGAGCACGCGTACGAGCACACGCCTGGCTGCAATCTTAAAACCGCACCGCTAGTGGCCGCTGGAAACTCCATAATGCCCCTTTAACAATAAAGTATAGTAGCCTATTTCCCATCTTTGCTGAGCAAGAGATTTGTGTAAAGGAATTAAAGGTCTCTCCCATATTGACACCTGTCCCAAATAAATGCAGGTGGGGTTAAGTGATTGAACCAAATAAAAGCCCGGGCTAATACTTGAAGTTTAACGATACATTACTCTAGTCACTTCAGACATATAGAGTTCTAAAATCAACTTTGACTTATGGCCGCAGCTAATACAAGTTCATCGCTTGTTTATGCATCTACACTGAACAAAATTATAAACGCAACACTTTTGTTTTTGGCCCCATTCCTCATGAGCTAAACTCAAAGATCTAAGACTTTCTCTATGTAAACAAAAGGCCTGTTTCTCTCAAATATTGTTCACAGATCTGTCAAAATCTATGTTAGTGAGCACTTCTCCTTTGCTGAGATAATCCATCAGACAAACTTGAGGCTTCAAAACGCCAGGCCACAAACCAACGGGTGATGTCACCATGACTACATCCACCTCTTATATACAGTCTATGAATTCAACCATGTGGATACAATCCAAAAATCATGCAAAATAACTTGCACGCCATCGATACTAACTTGAGCACCAGCAAATAAGCCAGCCAGCCACAGCTTATACTGCACCACCACCTCTACAAAATCTCCAACCAATTCTGATCAGGCAAAGAATGGAACCATTCTGAATCAAACTCGAGACATAAACAATCAAAATGAGGATTCCCAAACATTCCCACATCTACCACACATGTTTTGTGACATAGTAAAAATTCTGGAAATTTGATTTATTAACTGTTTAGATATCAAAAGGGGGCTGTGTTTGCCTAATTTAAAGAATTTTATCAATCTATCCTATCATATGTATTATATTTAGCCAAACCACACAATCCGGTTTGATATCAGTATCCATCCATCCTTCTGATGGAGCCCTTGAGCAAGAGAGGCACTGAATCCCTGCCAGAACAAAGTGGGCAAGAGAGACAGTGGTAGTGTTCATCAGCTATATAATTAAACTCTCACACTTGTTTTAGGTGACGTGAACATTTTGACAGCCCAGTCTGCTTTCAGTCAAAGCCTTATGGGAAGAGAGAGCAGTGTTTATCCTGTGAGGTGGCTCAACACAGGAAAATGGCAGATCATGTGTGAGAGAATGAAAAAAAAAAAAGTGGGATAATAGCTGAAGGAGATCAACAAACGGTTGAAGATTGTATCCATGAAATACCTTCATTAATTAAAAGAAAACTGCCCTAACGTTTGTTCCCTACAGAAACAAATATGTTCATTATCTAGTCTATTAATCTGCCAATAGATTCATTGTTTTGTCAGGAAATAATTGGAAAACGTTATCAGAGCCAAAGATATTTAAATTATGTTCATATAATACGGACAAAAAGTCACATATCTTCACATTTGAGACGAAGGATTTGGGGAATTTTCATTGGGAAAATGGCTTAAAAACGACTCATCGACTATCAAAATAGTTGCTGATTACATTTTCAATCGATTTCTAATTGGTTCATCGATTCATTGTTTCAGCAAGAGTAGGAGTTTGATTTATAAGAGGTAAAACAAGTCATTGATCAATTAATCAATTGACAGAAAATTAGTTGGCAAATATTTTCATCAGTTAATAAAGTAAATAGAAAATAAACAAAAATAAATATTCACTGTGTCATGAGTGATTCATGTTTAATCCAAATGTCCATCACAATTTTCCAAAGCCCAAGCTTTCTTGTTTTGTCTAAAGAACAATCCAAAACTTCAAGATATAGCAAGATATCGCAAATATTCTGATAGAAACCAGAATTTTGTAGCACTTTGGCTTAAAAAATGGCACACATAATTAGTCAATTATTGCCAATTCCTGGGAAACTGTCTGACATTTTATATATCAATCAATTAAGCAGTTAATCCAGAAAATAATGATTCATCAATCATCGATAATGAAAATAATTAGTTGCAGCCCAATTATTAATTATCACAATCATTGGAAGTAGTCTTTATACTATTCAGATTGGTATTATACTGTAGGAACACTTACACTGAGATTCCAGGAAACAAAATAACCCACAAATTGCCTCTGAAGACATTTAAGTTTTTTAGGTCTAAGTACATTTATAAATTAGACAACTCCACACACCTCACAACTTTGTACCAAAAACGTTAGATCCATATTATATTAACAATAAAACACTGGTAAAGACAATAAAACCAAATATCTTTTTGGCATATCAGCATCACTGTAAATTAGAATCTGAGCTTTAAATATGAATGCTTGAAAATACTATTAGTGTTCAGTATCGTCTTCTTCGATATTTAGATCTTTTGACAGAGTCGTTTTAGTCACTACATCGCTGTAAACACTGTAGGAATCGGAACTCACCATGAGGGGACACGTCGAGAAACACAAGGTGACAAAGAGTAAACTTTTCATCTTCACTCCTCAGGAGGCAGCAGCCAGTCAGCCAGTCAGCTGTCCTACCAGGAGAAACTCAGGACTTCATTTAAACTCCACTCTAGACTTTGTCATCCCGTTTACAGAATATGGATTTTTTTTTTATTCCATGAATGTGGCTGATAAAATGCATACGAAAGGAAGAGAAAGCCGGTGTTCTCCTGTATCCACACTGGAGGCTTCCACAGAGCTGACTGTGCAGAGATATCAGTTCCCGGCAGCTGCCTTCGACTGCCAAGTTTACAGTGACATGCACAGAGACTTCCGGTTTGCAATTTCAAAATAAAATCTTCATTGAGCCTTACTGTAATACACAATCCATCTAGGAATTAAAGCTGCAAGCAGCGTTGGGCGGGCCCTCGCACTTGTAAGCGCGTCCGCGCGTGAGCCGGCCGAGTTGCACATTCTGGAGCTCTGCCGGTGCGGCTGTGAATTTCCTACGCGGTTCCGACACCGCATGAATGTGCTATATGTCAGTTCCTGTGTCCCCTATGTGGAGCTACATAGCACTTGCCGCTATGAATATAAATCGGTATTGGCGTGTAGATGTCTGCGGGGTGGGAGAGTTATCAAGCACGTAAAGTTTGTTTCAGATGTGACCATGTACACTGAACAATAATGTACACAAACAATAAAATAAATTCCTTGCCTTGTTGTTTATGTGTACATACAGAGGAAGAATGTGAGAACAGCACACATTTCATCGTTACTGTGTGTTAGAGCATGGGAGAACAGTGGATACTTTTAATACAGCCCACACCCCTAATACTGTGTAACTATAACAAGTAGAGAACAGAAGAAAAAGATGTTCTTTCTTTACAACTGTCTGCATAGCTTATTCATATTGTGTAATGAATGAAAATAAATAGGCCTACTAGGATCCTCTCTACTTTGACATTTAAGATTAGCTTGTTTGATCCACCTTCATACACATGTGACATTACTGTACAACTTGAGAAAGGTGAGTTGTTTTCTGCTCCAGCCTGCCTAAAAGAAAAGCGTTTTTGGGATGAAATGGACTTTATTAGCTGCTGCAGTGCAGGATGAACTCAGAATAGACCCATTTCTCACCTTATTATTCTAAATCATGCAACGAAGAAGAAGAAATGCATAAGAAATCCTGGGACAAAATCTGTCCACAAATACTGTACAGCATGTAGTCTGATGAACAAGACTTGTGTTATAGCTGACTTGGGCAGTGAAATGTTTAATTTTTTTAATTCATGTGGTCATAGTTGTCCACAACTCAAATCAGAATATAAGAAGAAATGTTTTATACCACCTCAAGAAGGCTTCCTATCAGAAAGGTAGGAAGGTATTTCAAATGTACAACTGCAGTACTTAAATCTAAGTAAAGTAATTTCCCTGACATTTTTGTGTTACTTTACTTTTAATAGACCCATGTAAGAGGTTTTATACTTCCTGTGAGTATAATCCAATCAATCTTATTTTCATACTGTATATCCGTTGTGTAATTTGATAAATTGTGTTGTATGTCGTGCTCGCATCTCAGAGAAGACTCTGACTGCAACATGCGTCTTTGTAAAGAGAGAAACAGACAGAAAAAGTCTCTAACTCTGCCTGTCAGCTCGCTCTGCTCCGTTAAAACTGAATTTACCATACAGAATTGAATACGAGTGCACTCCAGATTTAGCTGCAGCCAGCTGACCGTGTGCTTCTCCCTATACCGCAGGTCTGTGTCCATGCATGCAGCAAACTGAAAGCACTGTCTGTCGGTGCTTCTACGTGAAAAGAGAAGGAAGACATTGCTGGTAGTATTGTCTTCAGAGTTGTTAAACACCTCAGCGCACTGAAGGAAGCCATCTGACTGTGTGAGGGGCAAGATCGTTGATGTCTGCAGGCAGAGTAGGAGCTCTCCTGTCTGACTGGTCCACCAATAGCAGAGAAGATGACCCCTTGAGACACAGCCCCTCCTCATTTGCATAGTGAGGCAGAAATGCATACAAAAATTTAAGACAGGCAGAAATAAATACCATGGGTGAAAATAAATAAGGTAAATAAATACAAAGGAAGAATAAAACAGACAAAAATATTAAAACACACACATAAATAAATACATTAAAAAAATTAGTAATAAATAAAGTTGAATAAACAAATAAGGTAATTATAACAAAGGTGAATAAGTAAAGGCACTAATTAAAATATATACATTTATGTCTCCTTGTATAATTTAATTACTACCTACATTTATTTATTTACTTAATTTTTTGTGTATTTAATTGGATGCTTATTTATTTATTGAGCATTTATTTATTTCTGTATTTATTTCTGACTGTGTCAGGATTGGTCCTCCATAGCGGGGTGGGAGAGTTATCAAGCACGTAAAGTTTGGTTCAGATGTGAGCATGTACACTGAAGTTACAACAACTTCCTGTGTCATGGCGAAGACTTGATCTCTGACGCCACGCCACGGACACACCCATTGACGAAAACTCGCAAATAGCACAACTTTTCATCTTCAATGCCTTTAGAAGGCACAGCACAAATTTGAAGTCGGTCGGACTAAATCCCTAGGAGGAGTTCGTTAAAGTACGAAGTGTGTAAATCATCCAAAATTTGACGTAAAATTCAAAATGGCCGACTTCCTGTTGATTCTAGGGCATCGCTCCAAGAGGCTTTTTTGTGCGTCTGGACAAGATACACGTACCACAGAAAATTCGTGCACGTAGGTAAAACGTGCGGCGGGGGCTGCTTCGTTAAAAGTCACTTCCTGTTGCCAGCAGGTGGCGCTATGACTGTCTGTGAATGTGAGCATGTACATGTGTTCAGGGCGGGACTCTCATCCTACATGTACAGTTTGGTCCAGATGTGAGCATGTACACTGAAGTTACGACAACTTCCGTGTCATGGCGAAGAGCTGATCTTTGACGCCACGTCACGGACACGCCCATTGACGAAAACTTGCAAATAGCACAACTTTTCATCTTCAATGCCTTTAGAAGGCACAGCACAAATTTGAGGTCGGTCGGACTAAATCCCTAGGAGGAGTTCGTTAAAGTACGAAGTGTGTAAATCATCCAAAATTTGACGTAAAATTCAAAATGGCCGACTTCCTGTTGGTTTTAGGGCATCGCTCCAAGAGGCTTTTTTGTGCATCTGGACAAGATACACGTACCACAGAAAATTCGTGCACGTAGGTAAAACGTGCGGCGGGGGCTGCTTCGTTAAAAGTCACTTCCTGTTGCCAGCAGGTGGCGCTATGACTGTCTGTGAATGTCAGCATGTACATGTGTTCAGGGCGGGACTCTCATCCTACATGTACAGTTTGGTCCAGATGTGAGCATGTACACTGAAGTTACGACAACTTCCGTGTCATGGCGAAGAGCTGATCTTTGACGCCACGCCACGGACACGCCCATTGACGAAAACTTGCAAATAGCACAACTTTTCATCTTCAATGCCTTTAGAAGGCACAGCACAAATTTGAGGTCGGTCGGACTAAATCCCTAGGAGGAGTTCGTTAAAGTACGAAGTGTGTAAATCATCCAAAATTTGACGTAAAATTCAAAATGGCTGACTTCCTGTTGATTTTAGGCTATGGCTCCAAGAGGCTTTTTTGTGCGTCTGGACATGATACACGTACCACAGAAAATTCGTGCACGTAGGTGAAACGTGCGGCGGGGGCTGCTTCGTTAAAGGTCACTTTCTGTTGCCAGCAGGTGGCGCTATGACTGTGGGTGAATGTCGGCATGTACATGTGTTCAGGGCGGGACTCTCATCCTACATGTACAGTTTGGTCCAGATGTGAGCATGTACACTGAAGTTACAACAACTTCCTGTTTCATTGCGAATCATCGACGCCACGGACACGCCCATTGACGAAAACTCGCAAATAGCACAACTTTTCATCGTCAATGCCTTTAGAAGGCACAGCACAAATTTGACGTCGATCCGACTAAATCCCTAGGAGGAGTTCGTTAAAGTACGAAGTGTGTAAATCATCCAAAAATGGCCATAAAATTCAAAATGGCCGACTTCCTGTTGACTTTAGGCTATGGGTTCTTGAGGCTTTTTGTGCGTCTTGATACGATACATGTCCCCAGAAAATTTCGTACATGTAGGTTGAACGTGAACGAGGGGCTAATCATTTCCAATTTTCAAGGTGGCGCTAGCGAGTCATTTTGCCACGCCCATGTGCGAAACTTGTAGAATACGAAATTTTTCACCGGTTCTGACATGTTTGCAAATTTTGGTGAGTTTTCGAGTATGTTTAGGCCATGTCATTTGGGCCTACTTTGCAGAAAAAAAAAAAAAAAAAAAATATATATATAATCCGAGCAGATTCAATAGGGACCTCGCACGGTCGTGCTCGGGCCCTAAAAAAAAAAAAAAATAATCCGAGCAGATTCAATAGGGACCTCGCACGGTCGTGCTCGGGCCCTAACTATCTATCTATTTAAAAATGTGATTATTTTAAGTGATTTTGGAAGCATATGTTTGCAGCTGTAAAAATAAAACAGACGCATTCTATTTCCATTGACTTCCTGCCTCTTTTAGAACATATTCCTTTTATTTCCTGCATTTTGGTGATTTTGAAGTTGAGCTTTTTCTCCCTCTATGTATGGTGGAAATATCTGGCCTATTTATGCACAATAAAAAACAACATTCAGGCAACAGGTGACAACTCAAAATATAATGGAATATTAAGGCTCTCACGAATTCTGTATTAGTTAGTAAACTAGTAAACTCGAAATACATTAAATCATTAGCTGCACAACTCACCACTTACTTGGTTGTGAGACTTTCTGATTAGATGTCCTAATATTGCACCTCCTCCTCTTTTCCTTTCTGGCTCTTTCTCCATGGTTATCAACCATGCTTTTGCATTTTCTTTCCATTTTATGGCAGATTGTAACCATCGCGGTTACATACTGCCACCACCTACTTTGTGGGGAATGCATATGTTCTAAATATTGAGGGAAACTCTGGTTGTGCTCTCTGTGCTTTTGGAGCCAGGCTTTTTAAGGTTTATATAACGGTATTTAGACTAGCCAGAAAGAATGCAGGCAGAATGGCAACATGTGCTAACATAGTGCCCCCTGGGTAATGCAGTTTATTTAATCGCACATGGAACCTGATATGGAGTGGGCAGAAAAGAGTAGCAGTAGCTTGTGAGAAGTCACGGTACACCAAATTGTAAAATGTACTGGTACCAGCCCACTTCAAGCACTTGTTGTAGTCAGA